TCTGCCCCCTGGTGGTCAGTGCACATCATAGTGAGCAGTTGAGTGGCCTTAGCATATCATTAGCATATTACGCTTTGATTGATAGAATGGCTGACCAGACACTTAGCATATTAGGCTTTTATTAGATAGGATACATATTAAAGTATTATTGTCCTTTAAATGGTAGATTTCCTGACAGAAGAATCTATGACAAATCTAAGTGTAAAATTATAGTGCTGTAATTTAAAAGGATAAATTGTTATAGAAACATCTATTTTATGATCCAGCAATCCTACTCCTAGGTAGAGGATCTGCTCAAATTCTGGGCCCTAAGTACCTCATTTGCCTCAGTCTAGTCCAGCCGTGGGCAAACTACGGCCTGCTGGCCGGATTCGGCCCGTTTGAAATGAATAAAACTAAAAAAAAAAAGATCGTACCCTTTTATGTAATGATGTTTACTTTGAATTTATATTAGTTCACACAAACACTCCATCCATGCTTTTGTTCCGGCCCTCCGGTCCAGTTTAAGAACCCATTGTGGCCCTCGAGTCAAAAAGTTTGCCCACCCCTGGTCTAGTCTCTGCCTTGCCTTGGTACTTAACCAAGAGAAAGGAAAAATACATGACTACCAAAATATTTGCACAAGAATAGTCCCAGAAACATTATTCATAGTAGCCCCAAAAACTGGGAAGAACTCAAGTGTCCATTAGTGGGAGAGTGGGGTAAGCAAATAAGGGTATATAAATCAACAGTACTGATATTTGCAACAACATGATGAACCTTAAAATTATTATGCTGAGCAAAAGGAGCCAGACACAATAGATTATATTCTTCTATAGATGTGATGTTCTAGAAAAATCAAAACTCATCCATGGTGGTAGATATAAAAATAGTAGTTGGGGGAAGGGGTAATAGAAGAACTTATTTAAATAGCATTGAGGGACCGGAATATTGTAATGGAAATTTTTTACTTTTTGATCAGGGTATTACATGGTATATGTTTTTTTTTAAAACTTGTCAAAACTCACTGAGCTATACACCTAAGATATGTACATTTCACCTATGTAAATTATACCTTTTTTAAAAAAATGTTTTTATTGATTTCAGAGAGAGGAGGAGAGAGGGAGAGAGAAATAGAAACATCAATGATGAGGTTATCATCTATTGGCTGCCTTCTACACGCCCTCTACTGGGGATCAAGCCCAAAATCTGGACATGTGCCCTGACTGGGAATCAAACCATTACCTCCTGGTTCATTGATTGATTCAACCACTGAGTCACCCAAGCTGGGCTATACCTTCTTTTTAAAAAAAGTTTGTTAAGTTATTTTTTTACTATAAGATAGCCACAATATTATGTTGTTAATTAAGATGCTTGATCCAGTGGCACACTTCTGTGTATTTCTTTGTTTCTATAAGGAGAAATAATTTGAATTAGTTATTGCTTCTTAACAAATTACCACAACACTTAGTGGTTTAAAACAGCTATAAACATTTATTATTCCATACAATTTCTCTGGGTCTGGAATTCATAAATGGATTAACTGGGTTATTCTAGTTCAGGATCTCATGAGGTTGCCATCAGTATATCAGTTCGGACTATAGTCATCTGAAAGCTTGACTGGAATCGGATGATCTATTTCTAGAGCTAGCTCATTCATTCTGTGCCAGTTGTTGATAGGAGGCTTTAGTTCCTCCCTGTCTAGATGGCCTTTCCACAGTCTCTTGGCTAGCTTCGGAGCCTGGTGGATAAGAAATAATGTTCTCAAAATTACTCAGTATTCATTTATGGTATTTGAGGCAGAAGAAAGGAAGTACTTTACCCTATGAAGAGAGAGGGTAGAGTATGAAGAGAGTATCCAGAAGTACTAGAGCTGGAATAGGGTCTCCACAGACATAGCTATGCTACTATCCGAATTGCTCTGTATCGGAATTGATGTTACTCATGGTCTTGTTTTCTCAGCCATTCCAAAGGACTTCGAAACTACTAGAGTACTTTTCTGATCATCAGGATGGTAAACTGTAGTATGTTTCTTTTGATCTCCACGTTTTCCTCTTTGTGCATATATGTTCTTCCTTTACTTATTAAAAGAACTGAGGCGGAAAAGAGAAACTGGTTACTCAGAAGAGATATTTCCATTTTCATTGTTTTACCTCAACTCTGTCCTTTTGGTTTTTTTACTTTCACTTGTACTATATAAGGATAAAGTTCATGGATAAGCATGTTTTGCCAATAAGAGTAAATCCATTAGCTTATGAAATGTTTTATTTTTCTGTGTTCATTATCCTTGTTTTAGAGATGATGAATCTCATAACAGTGAACACCAATAGTTTCAATAGTGTAAAGGTATAAAGAAGCCACCTTCTTCAATGCCTTTGTATATGTCTTCATGAGGATAAAATGTTATAGGTGAAAGCATATTCTTTGAGCAAGTAGATAAACATGAATAGGATTAAATGCAAGTTTCATATTGTCTTTTGTGCCATTTACATTTTACAACAGTCTTTTTCATTTATTTAAAATAGAACATACAGCCCTGGCCAGTGTGGCTCAGATGGTTGGGCTTTGTCCTGTGCATTGGAGATTGGGGAAGGGTGGAGTGGGAGTTGCTGGTTTGATAACCAGTCAGGGCACATGCCTGGGTTGCAGGTTCCATCCTGGTGAGAGGCATGATGGAGGGAGCCGATTGATGTTTCATTCTCACATAGGTGTTTCTCTTTCTCCCTCTCCCTTGCCCTCTCTCTAAAAATCAATTAAAATATTAAAAAAATAAAAGAACAGGCAGTAACTTTTATGTATATATATCCATGTAATATATATGAATTTTTATAAATAAAATACTATTTTTTTCAGCATTATGGTCATAGACTAAAATTCAATATTTTCCTTGTTCTTTTTGGAATGCAACATTCAGCACTTACTGTCTTTGAGTAGAAATGTATCTGTCAGGGTCAGTTTTAAGTTGTTATCTGATCCATCCACCTAAATTAGCTTTGTGGAAAACTGATTGACTATTTGGATTGCATTAGCCTCCAATAACAGAGCAGTTTTCATGTGCAGAGTTGATGTGCTGAAATTTTAATTAATTCTGTAACCTGTTTATGGAAAGTGAAAAGATATTCTTATGGCTTATAAATCACTTCTTTCCCCAACTGCCAAAAGTAAACACCCTGCACCTGTAAAAAAAGGCTGAT